CCTGTTATTGAAGAAAAATTAAATTTTGCTAGTACTACTATTAAAGATGTAATAAAATATTATAAAAATATTAATAAAGTAAAACTATCTTTATGAAATAGATAAAACCTATTTTAACTAAACATAATAAATATTATTTAATTCATTTTGTTAAAGAAGACAAAAAAGTTCCTTTAAATGTATTAAAAGAAAAATTTACACAAGCTACATCAATTAAAATTTCTATATATATTTTATGATAATGTCTTTATAAAAAAGGCTTTTTTTCATATTGGTAAAAGAAAGCCTTTTATTAATGAAAATAATCATAAAACATCATTAGAATAGGCAAAAGAAAAAGTAGATTAGAATCCTGAATGGGATTATATTATATAGAATGATAAATCTTGCTTTGAAGTATTTGAAGATGATAATTGTCATAATATTTAGAGACTGTCAAAGAAAAAGTACAATGTAAACTGTCTTATGCTAACCTTTAAATCTGACTGAAAAGGAGGTATAGTTTGAAGATATTTTAGTTCAGCTAGTTTAGGTTTATTAGTATGAATTAATGGTTAACAAATATCAAAAGATTATATTGAAACCCTTGATAATCATCTAATATCTTATTTAAAAGTTCTTGATAATCAAGATAATTATTTATATTAAGATGATAATGCATTAATCTATCAAGCAAAAAAACAATAGACTGGATATTAAAAAATAATGTTTCTCATATTTTATGACCTTCTCAGAATTCTGATTTTAATCCTATGAAAAATATTTAGAATGAGTTAAAATATTAAATCTGTAAATATATTTTACTATTAACTAATAAAATAGAATTATTCAATTTTTACAGAATAAATAGTTAAAGCTAGATAGTTCTGTTTATAATAATCTTATAGAAAATATGTCTCATTGTATTAAAGCTGTTATAAAGTCTAAATTCAATCCTATACTATATTGAATATATACAATAAAATTTATATTTTATAATTTCTTAAAAAAATTCCTTTGAAAGATAAGCAAATTTTTGAGAAATTGTAAATTAAAAATATGCATTAATTGATGATCATCATATGAATTTTGAAAAAGTAAAATTCTGATTTTTAATAATAATTATAAAATATTATAATAAGTAAAGCTATAGTTTATGATATGAACTATAAATTATTATAAAATAATTTATACTTATAATTAAAGCTCTGAACAGTTCAGATTAATCTGAAAATTTTTGGTTCAGTTCAAATTTTTTTCAGATTATAAATCTAATCTGAACTGAAAAAAATCTGAATTGAACTAAAAATTTCAGATTAATCTGAAATTTTAGATCATTTGAAATGATTAATTCGTAGTTCGTATAACAAGTAGAGATTTGCAATTAGTAAAATTTGATGAAGATCAACTATATAATCATATAAATTGAAAATTTTTCGAAAGATCTACATAGTATTTTTACATTTAAAATATAAAAAAAAATTTCGGAAATTAATAGCCAATTAATACAAATCTTTATTTATAAAAAAAATTTTTAACGCAACTCATTTTTAAGAGCTTTTATGTACAAAACGTATGGATTTCAGTGCAAAATTTATTATAACTGAATATATGATTTCTAAATAATACCTACTTGAGCTTAAGATTTTATTACTAGAAATTACTACTGGTAGTTAATGCTTTTTCTGCTGCTTCTGCCTTTATATGCGCTGAATATCTTGAGATCCACCTCTAATTGTATCAACTTTCTGTAGTATTTTTTCTTTTGCTAAATGTCTCATTTCTGCAGCCATATGTAATTCTCTCATCATATCTTCAGCTAATAAATGTGACTTACCAGGTGTATTTTCGCTATAGA